TTTGTTTGAATACCTTTCTCTTTTAATCTTACCAATTTTAAACAAGATCTTCATATTTAATATTTTCCCTGACTTTCTAATTTGTAGCAGAATCTTAATCACGGGCGAATAACTTAGAATTATAGTTAAACTTGATCAATAACAGTGGGCTATTTGAGCTGTGCCCACTATCAGTATCGAAATCCTAACAGTGTTGAGCCTAACATTAGCGTGACAAATATAAATTGGCGCACGTAACGCCATCCTTTGTCGGATTTGACGCAACAAAGACAGAAGTTATATATATATTTTTAACCATCTCTCAAATAGATTGCTATTAATTTGATATTTGCGTAAGCTTGAACAACTGAATAAATACTATAATGCATGCTTGTTTATTGAGTTTCGACCAAAGCTTCACGAGGGATATTTGCGTTACCTGTCCATAATTTTGAAGTGGCAAACTAGAGGGAAGGCAGATAGTCTACACCACCCACCGCCAACCTTTGGGCTACTCTCTTACCAACGAATAGTGGGATTAACCGTCACATTTAACGCCTCTACAGCTGAAAGAGCGAGCCCATTCAGTGACCCCCAGTTTGCGAGTCGAGCGCTCTAACCACCGGGCAATACAAGGCTCTCACTATAATGGAATAAGTTCTTGCTTAATACATTATACTTTGAACATGCGGTAAGAACAAATAAGTAGAAAAAGCTTTCAAGTACTAGTAGCTACAGATGATGAGGAACAAGTTTTTTCAACTAGCCTCTTTTGGGTTTTTTTACGTTATTATGTGTAGTAATTATTCAGTTAAGCATAGCCAGTTTGGTTTTTTTTGTGTGTGTATATTTTAGAGTATCCTTACTTTTATTGCCAAAACCATAGGTTTTCTTTGAAATCTTTTCTATTCATTATTTAAGTGTTCGATTTCACGGATTAGCTTTAGCCTATAAGCTTCTAATAAAAGCTGTTAAGGCAAAGCGTTGGTTCTCATGATGCTTTAATATGCAGATGAGAAACAACAGAAAAGACTGCTTCCTATTGTTTGTATGAACAGGTTTGGAACGAAATATAATCACAAAATGTGTTGTTCTAGCTGTTAAGAGTGGTAGAGATAGTATCATGATGAGAAGTTTTATCTGGTTAAGGTTTGGTCTACTGAAAGCTATACCGTTTTTTAAATGCTGCACTGTCTGAATTGAGAGTATGTATATGAAAGATGTTCTTAATAGCATTTAAAGTTTTAAACAAGGGCTCTTTGCACTTAGCCATTCCTAACTTTGAATTGATAGACTAGTAGGAAATCAGTTAGTCAACAGCAACAAATCCCTATTCTTGGACTACTTTTTTCTAAGCAAGTAGTCTGATTTGATCGTCACTTCTTTATTACATCCACAGCGGAAAATAAAAGACATATTGTTACAATAAAGGTATACAAATTCGCACTTTTGGTAGAAGTGAAAGGAGTACACATATTTAAGCGTGATAATATATTGGTCAAAATGCTCCTCTAGCATTGGTGTTATATACCACAATATTATGTGTCTTTGTTTCGAAAAATACAAAAGCAATAGGTAGGAAGATTAAAGTTTAGAAAACACAAGCAAACTATTCTAATACTATCATTAAACTCCCACATTCTTTGGAAGTTATATTTATATATATATATGGGGAGGGGGTATATTGTAATGGGTATTTGTGATATTTAGTCTTCTGTACACCCACACATGTTTATACGTTTCTTTTATAACATCCCCAAATACCAATTTTAGGCAAGCCTGCTATGTTTTCTTTTTCTTCAAAGGTCAGAGTTGCATTTTCCTTTAGTTGAACCATTTAATTCATGTTCTTATGTTTCAACATTTTTGTGGAGATCGGTGGAATATTCTGGCCTTTTTTTTTTTTCTCAAGGAAGATGGCACTAAGCATGTTTTCCTTGTTCACAAGTCCATTTTATCTCTGGTAATTAGATACGTGTTTGCCTTAGCAAATCCAATCACATTAGCCCTTTTATACGATTATCTTTGTAACTGAACTAATAATTTTAACTATTTCATATGTTTGACAGAGGGTTTAACTAAGAAAAAATTCTAATCTCTATTTTTTCATTTCCATAGACATTTGTCAATATCGTTAACTTACATTATTTTACTTAAGGATCGATATGCATTTGTGAGTCTAAAAACACTGTTGTTCTATAGGCCACTTTATGAGATATTAAAATACATGTGCAAAAATTATGATTCAGCTATTAGGTTTGTTGTTGAATAAAAATATATTAAAATGTGATTTTCTGTTGCCGAATAGGCTCTTTTCAAAATGCATTTATGATTTACGGATCTTACAGCATAAGATTATTTTAGCACAAGGCGATATTTTATTTCGTTGCATGTTATCTGTTTTAATTTCCAGTCTGAAATAGGTGTTTCTTAGATTCATGCTTTATAAAACTATGCACTAAGTTATGTAATTATATCTTTACCCAGTGGATCTCAATTGTTTTTCAAGGTCATTTTTTCTGATCGATCTCATAGAGAATACGTTTTTTCGATTAAAAACATATAAATATGTTAGTGACTAAAATTATAGTTTGAAATTGAAACTATTCTATAAATTTAAAAACATCCAAGAATCTATTGTTTTGCTGAAAATTATTTTAAAACTTCTGATATAATTATATCTCTTTGCACTAAAGAATCTACCTTGCAAACGTATATGACAAAACAACACAATAAATAACTTGAGCACTTCGAGAAGTGAGGCCTTCGCCCTCAAAAACAAACAAAACAAAGTATTTCTTTACTGAACTACATTTCTTCCCAACGTAAACGATTTTGATTTTTTTTTTTTTTGCCCCTCAGTGGCACAGCGGTATGTCTGCGGACTTACAACATTAGAAACCGAGTTTCGATACCCTTGGTGGGCAGAGCACAAATAGCCCATTGTGTAACTTTGTGCTTAACTTCAAAACAACAACAACCCAACAGAGACATTTTATCGTAATATGACGTCACATGTAACTACGACTGGGACAGACGAGACGAGGCGATTGGCTCGTTTGAAATTTTGCTTAGCATACCCTTAGGACTTTTATGTTGAGTCTTTTTCGTGAACAAGATGGAATCCAAAATAGCCGCGACACTTTAAATTCTTTTAGACAGGATTAGAGTAAATTAATCTATGAGACCTTAGGTGTGGATAAAAACATCAATTGAAATGGTTTGACCTTCTGAGTTCAAAACCATATGATTTCTTTTTAGGCACATTATGCTACTTTATCAAGAGTAAAAAACAAAAATGATGATTTTTGGCACCAGTGTTACCTAAACTAATTAGCTGAAATATCTAATTAATTGTTTTTAAACAATATCGTTAACTTATTTCAGAAATTCTAACAGTATTTCGGAGCTAGAAAGCTAGGAGTGACTATATATGCTACTTTAAAACGACTTGAGTTTGAATCTACTTACGATCTTATAGGAAATCAAATTTTTATGTACAAACCTGTTCTGTTCTCCTCGTTTATGGAGCTTATATTTAGTTGAAACACTTAGTTAAACAATTTTACAAGCGATTATTACGTCAGGAAGGATTCTTTTAGAATTTGCACATCGATACACTTCTGCCTAAAATAACACATAATGCTTTTTACATTTGCAGTGGGCTTGTGCATTCTATATACTACATTCGTTTTTACAAGAATTCATATTATGTTCAAGGTGCACTTAACTTTCCTGTCAACAACAACTGGTTTAAACTACATACTACTATGACTTACATGATGTTAAGAAAACAAGTGGGTTCAAAAAATTAAAACAAAAATATGAAACCATATAGCCCGAGCTTTCGAAAGTGGACCCTCCTTCATGAATTTACATGATGAAGAAAGGTCCACTTTTGGAAAGCACTCGGGTTATCGGGTTTCGTACTTTTGTCTCTAATTTACAACGTATATTCTACAACAAGCCGACCGTAACACAATATCAATTCTTTTTCCAATTTAGTGCCAGAAAAACTTGCTAAAATTATTTTTTGAGTGATGTATAGTTCATCTGGCTACTCTGATGACGTAAGTTTTTGAGAATCATGAAATAATATTTAATTTTTTCCAATTATGTTGTTCATTCATATGCCATGCAATAATGACAAAATAATCTCTAATCAACAGAAGATCAAAATATAAAAAGCCTGAGATGGTTGCCTTGCACATTTAATTTCGTTATTTTCAGAAATTATTCTATCTATTTTTCAACTAAAACAATATGCTATTTGTTTCTTCGATTGTATGCACTTCGGTTTTAATGCTTTTAACTCTTTAGATTAGAGAAAAGTATAGACGTCAATTCAATTAATGATATTAAAGATTTGACAACAAGGACAGTTTAGCGATATGTCAAGCAAGCGTTATAAAATAATTTAAAAAATCTCCTAAAATTGTACTTTTCCGTGTAACTGTAGAATAATTTTGTGATTTACAGTATTTTGATAATGAACGTATTTTATGTTTTGTCTCAAAAGTAAAATTTTCTTAAGCTTGATGTTGTTTTCTTAGTGAAAAGTTACAAAATAGGTTATCGGCACTTTGTCCACACGCAGGGAATCGAATCCCGGATTTTAGCGTTGTAAGTTTGTAAGCTTATTACTGACCCAACGGAGGACAAATGGTTTGAAATATGTAACATTAATGATTTTTTTTATATTTTTAGCAATAAAATAAACATTACCCAAGAAGATAGTTATAAACATAATTTATTATAAGCATTGATTTATCATAAGCATTTTGTTGATAAATATTGTTTTAAAGTATGTTTGGTTTTAACTAAATTCTCAGCTAGTACACATTTTTTTAAATAAACAAGCTATATAATTGAAAGCTTCATAAGGGAATATATGTCTGTAGAAAGTACCAAATTGACCGATATAAACTAAAGGTTATAATATCATACTTTTATGTTTTATTTTTCTGTTTGTGTTGGTTAGTTCATATACAGTCAAGCGATTTCGTTGACTTTTCTTGAAGGTTCATCTTAGCGATTCATCGTCGAGACTGGAGGCTGATGAAGTTGATAAAGTCTTACTTAGGCACCAGTTGAAAGCTTACTGGATGTGTCGTTTGAATGTCACACAATATGCTAAAGGTTAGTGAAACATTAAATTACTTATAACGTTTGCAGATAATTTTTATCTTTTTCTCGGTATAACTTAAGTTAATGCTGAGTTTCAATAAAAAGTTGCAAGTAGTCTATAAAATAAAAGAGGTAAAAACCGATGAGTAAACACTATATTGTTAAAAGTAGGTGGTAAATTAAACGAACACAAAACTTGGAGTTAAGCATCAATTTCAACATATCAAAATATATAAAAAGTACGGAACTTTACTGGAACTTATTTTGCAGTAGCACCTGCAAAGTGATGCGTTTGTACAAAGGCTTTTTGCTCTCATCAATGAAGTTCGCTAGCTCAAATATTTCTGAGCCCGGCATGGCCGGGTGGTTAGGGCGCTCGATTCGCAATCTGAGGGTCGGGGGTTAGAATTCCCGTCACACCAAACATGCTCGCCCTTTCAGCCGTGGGGGCGTTATTATGTGACGGTCAATCCCACTATTTGTTGGTAAAAGAGTAGCCCAAGAGTTGGCGGTGGGTGGTGATGAGTAGCTGCCTTCTCTCTAGTCTTATACTGCTAAATTAGGAACGGCTAACGCAGATAGCCTTCGTGTAGCTTTGCGCGAAATTCAAAACAAACAAACAAATATTTCTAATAAGCACTAAACACAGTACTTAATATCCTTTATGTTCTAAACCATAACTGATTTCCTCAAACAATGTTAAAAACTGCGCTTTATAACGGAAGGATCAGCAGGACAAATCACAACTGAGTTTTAAGAAAATAAACTAGAGGGAGTGAACATGATATATAATACAAAGTGAGGACAATCTTTATTAATCTCAAAGGAACAAAACACAGAATGCACACTTGTTTTGGACGGTTGACTTCTACTAGACTTGTGAATTGATCAATGATTATTCTTCTCTACACATACTTTTCCATCAGTCAATTCACTTAAGATCCGATGTAAACTGTTAGGGCGCTTAACTCGCAATCTGAGGGTAGCGGGTTCGAATTCTTGTCCCACCAAACATACTCGCCCTTTCACCTGTGGCGACGTTATAATATGACGGTCAGTCCCACTATTCGTTGGTAAAAGAGTAGCCCAAGAGTTGGCGGAGGGTGCTGATGACTAGCTGTCTTCCCTCTACTCTTTCACTGTTAAATTAGGGACGGCTAGCACAGATAGCCCTCGTGTAGCTTTGCGCGAAATTAAAAAAACAAACAAGTAGACTGTTTTAAATCTAGTATTTCTTTCTTAGTGGAAAACGTCGGATTTACTAATAGCAACTAGTGCTTTTTATATGACTGATCATTCTCATTCAACACAATAGAAGCCGTAACCTATAGATATCATCTTCTTCACAACTGAAGGACATTGCTCTCAGTTTGACCATCTTGCACAACGTGCAGCATTACAACAATATCCAGCAGTCGAAAACAACTAAGGAGCAAAGGTAGCTAGAACGAAGTCAAGTTATCAGTTTTGTGGATCGTGTATCATGTAAAAACTGCTTAGTTTTAGAATAAACGCATTTTTTTAAAATGTCTACATTAAAATAGGAAGTTAGGAGATGCCAATTTGCCTCAGTACACATAGACGAATTTTTCATGGGGGCCGCGGGTGACATGTCTTCCGCACTTTTAAACCTTTTCGGAATGACTCATTTTTGGGTCCACATAAAGAATCTGGGCTAACTCTTGTGAAAGGTGTAAAAAAACATTGTTAAAAATATGACACAAGAGAAAGTGAAATAACTTGATCTGTCAGGTTCAAATAAATTAATTTATGAGGTGTAGCAGGAAGTGTAAATGAAGACACGGGAAATGCAAATAAGTAAATTAAGTATGCAACAATTCATGGAGAAATTTATAAAAGCAAGAATACCAAGTATCATCATAATGACCACACGAGTGCAAAAATATTATAGGTAAAAATTATGTTGGTGGGAGGTGGATACAAATACTGTATCTTCCTGTCAATGTTTCTTCATAGAATGTTCATGTTATCTCCTATCTTTGTATTTTTATAGCTATAATAGATGGTGATAAAAATATAGACTTTGTATCAAAGGTCATACCAACTTTACATCTCATTCTAATTATCTCTGTAATCACATTGATGTATATTTCAGACAATGTATTAATTCATGTTAAACCATTTTCTACGTATACATATAAAATAATGAGTTGCAATAAAGATGTATAGATTGTATTATTGCATTGTGCAAAAACTTCGAAATTATTTTGCTTATTTTAGCGCATCGATACACTATAAACTATTTATCTGCGCTCTGTCCACCACAGAGAATCGATCGTCGGATTTTAGCAAAAGTAAGTCCGTCTACTTACCGCTGACCCACTGGGAGATTTTGTAGACCACTTTGTTACAATTGTGCTATACTTGTACTTCACTTTCCCTTCTACTTTATTAAGTTTGTACTTTTTTATAACGAACCTACTTATATTAATAAACGTGACAAATTGTTAATTATTACAACAATCAACAACACATAGATTTAGAAATAAGCTTTGTTTCTCACTGGCAGCATAATACTGTTTCCTTCACCTTCTTCTCGGTTTATTTGGTCGCTCTCATATATCCCGCTCTTTTCTTTCTTCTGTTAAACTCCTGTCTTTTATTTTGCTTTCTTAAAAACCACGCTGGGCGTATTCTATTTCTTTCTAGTCTTGTACACCTCTTTTGATTATAATGTTTCATAATCATAGTGGGTGTTGTTGTCTCCATACCGCTGCAGAAGAAAAGCGGCTGCTCCCTCTAATAATTTCCTTAACGACTGACCTAAAATGCTGTAATCTCTAATCCTTTAGGGGCTGAGTAAAAGCTGGTCACTTTCTCCCCTCTATTAACTCCAAACGAGGATCCTTACACCTAACTTCATAATAGGAAACTTGAAATTGTAAAACTCTTTTAGCATAACTATTATATTATTAGAGGAAAATGCAATACAGTTGAGATTACTTTATTAATTAATACATATGTATATATAAAGTGTTACGTACTCTTCTAATTCTTGAAAATCCCAAAAAACGTCATAAGTCTAATACTATTGTCTTATGACAAGAATAATCGTAATCAGTTTTCGTCAGCTTGTAAAGGGCGTACATACGATAAAAACTGTTGTTGTATTAAATGGCTTATATAAGTAGTGTTCTGACCACTGCTGCATTTGTTGTATCCCAGCTTGCCTGATTGTTTGCTTGTTTATAATTAAGTACAAAGCTACAGAATGAAATATCTGTGCTATGTCCACCATGGGTGTCGAAACCCGGTTTCTAGCATTGTAAATCCGCAAACACACCGCTGTGCCACTGGAGGTAGCCGGCCTAAAGAGCTCTGGATTGAGCGTAACTCGTTGTCGGCAATGGATATGCCAAAAACAGTGTGATTGGAATACTATTATCATAAACTTTACTATTTCTTCAAAATCGCTAAGAGACTAGATTAAGAATCTAGTGTTTAAACATGTAATAAGCGTAATACTAATGTCTTATAATAACTATAATTGTAATCACTCTTCGCCGGTTTATATAAGGTGTACATACCATAACTTATACAGCTGAGCTAAGTGGCCAGGTCAGAGCCATATCTAATTTACAACTTAGAAAATTTATTTGTTGAATTTCACCTAAAGTTAAATAAGGCTATCCCCATTAGCTGTCCCTAAGTTTGAAGTAATAGACTAGAGAAGCGTTTCTTATAACGCACCCATGATCCCAAGGTGATATTTTAGCGTTAATGGCACATGAACCAGCACAGTAATTATTGGGCCGTAATCGGCCCTGACCTAGAAGGAGGACAATCAGTCAGTGGCATCCAATGTCTTGCAGATACCTTTAGCCGAATAATAAAATTGATAGACTTCATTAACTCCTCCTCAGCTGAATACGCGGAGCGTGTTCAGAGGCATAATACGGCTAGAAACTTAAACCTTCCGGTTGACAGCCCTGTACGCTAACCACTAGACCTTGCCCTTGCCTAAATACTTGCACACAAATCCTTATAGTTTGACAACCCATTTTGTTTACACGTGTGTTTGTAACATTCCATTTGTAACGAAATTTAAGCAACTCCATATCATTTACTGTTCATGTTTCGTCAGTGAATACATTCAACTATGAGTGCATCGCATTGTCTAACATTATTTGCAAAATATTATGTTTTCTTAGCTTCCTTGTTTACAATCTTTATAGAATATATATATTTATTATTACGTAGCACATTTATCTATTTATTTCATTTCATATTATTCAAAATGTGATCATAAATATTTCTAGATTTTCGTGACTTCTTCGTATTTCGAAACCTTGTTCTTGTGGCCGAATAAGATAACTGTCACTCATCACTTTTAGTTTGTTTGTTTGTTGAATTTCACGTAAAGCTACTTGTGGGTTTTTGTGCTACTCTTTACTAACAAATAGTAGGAGTGACTTCACATTATAACGCCCCCACAGCTGAAAGGGCCAACATGTTTAGTAATGCGATTCGAACCCGCAACCTGTAGATTGCGAGTCGAGCGCCCTTACCACACAGATTTCAGAATTTTATCTTCATAAATCATAAAATTATTACTCACTTTTCATCCACATTTCTGAAAACATTCTTTTGATTGTGTGTTATAGAAAAATCATTTCTTCGTTTTTGAGTTGATTTACTTATTCTATCGCTGAAGAGGATTGTAAACACTGTGATAAATTTTGATTATTTTTGTTTTCTGCAATATCTGAAAGAATTCTGACTATAAAGATGATGCATTATGTGAGTGTCTGTTTGTGTGTGGTGTGTTAACATCCATTACACAGAGTTGTCTGGCTCGATTACCGTAATTTTTTGTATGCTAACTGAAACCTGTATATCGGTGTACACAGGCTATTTTGTTTTACGATTTTTGCCAGAGAAAGGGGATAAAAACTGGCCCTGAAAAAGATCACATTTCTAGATTATCATAGACTTTTGACTTTGGATTTAAAAACACAAGTACTTAATAAACTAGATGTACTTTAGCAGGG